CTTTTTAATTCCACAATAATACAGGGTTACATAATTGAAGATCCATTGGTTTTAGATACGATTCCCACCACTACCATCCCTTACAGAAATCCCTGATACATTCGAAAATTGTGTATACAGAATCAATCCAGGATAAAAAATGATGATGTGAATCACACAGGCTGCTCGTGGTTCAGGAAAAAGCAATTTCATTATAATTAATTTGAAAAATAGAAGGCATTCTCCAGTTTTTACTCAACAGAATTAAAACATCATATGCTTAGCATTTAAAAATAAATAAATAAAATATTCACCTATATTAATATAAAAAGTAAAATATCAGCTTGCCTGTGATAATTTTTCACACATAGTATAAGTTTATTTTCATTAAAATGCAGCATTCAATAAATACTTTTTCCAGTCCTAATTTGATATTTTCTATGTTCTTTGTCCTTTTCCTGTTAAATATGCCATATTAGCAAATAATGCACCTAAAATAATTTTGATGCTCCATCTTCTGACCATCACCATTGTAGCAGAAGGACTGGCAGAACCTGGGGCAGAGTTAAAATGGGATCAGTCTAGAATCCCTGCCTAGCTACAAGCAAATTAAGTCCAACCTCCCTTGAATTCTGTTGACCCTTATCTAACCCCAAGCAGGCATTGAGTAGATCCCAATGCATAAGCATGATTACCAATAAAAAAGTTTAATGGAACCCTCTTGTGTAGACCTGAAGTTTCTCACCTGACAACCATAGCTATCAAGGTGACTATGGATAAACAAGTTGATATATAGTACAGATCTTGGACTTCCCTAGTCCTATATGTGGACTATATTTCCACATTTACTTCAGAGAAATAACCCACAGTCAAATTAAAAAGAGATTGAATATATAACCAAGTAGAGCTCCTCATTTTGTAGGATTTCATAAAAAGGTCATTATTACAAAGAAAAAATATATATTAGACACCATTGGATATATCTGAGGTATAGGTTCACAAGAAAAATCTAACATAGCACAGTACTGCAGGCAGAATAGTTTTAAAAAGGAGGAAAACAGTGAGACCGCAATATAACCACAATTAAATGCAGCTTAATTGATTTCAATCTGTACTTATATCAGGGACAGTTAAAAACAGGCCATCTTCACCACATCTGGCCCCAAACTTCTATATTGCCTTTGAGCTCTCTTCAGCCACAACTGTCCAAAATAAGCTACACAGCTTCCCCCATTTTGCATCAGAAATGCACAAAAGTTGTAGTGTACCTTCTAAAATACATGCAATGTCTTTAAAAAAGAAATCTCTTCCCCACAAGATAAAGGGAAATCAGAAAATCCAGGCCCCAGCCCCATGCATGACACAGCTTTCTCACGTTGCATCACCACATCACTTACTGCAACTTTTTGTCCTTGCCACCAGCACCCAAATGTTAAATGTAATTTTTCTTCAAATGAGTATTCCACAGTCAGCCTCTCAGAGATTATAACTGTATCACAAGGGGTAGTATTACCATTAGTTCTTATATCATTCTAACGCAGGTTACATATAGGACCCACATCACCCTCCAGATAAGATTAAACTGTAACTTTCATCCATCCATCATCCCTCGGCCATGTCTGCTTGGGCTGCTAGAAGCCAATTCTATTAAGAAAAGGTACATAGATGGTGGGTTATCCATCCCTATTACATGGACAACAGTAATCAGAAATTGACTATATGACTTGCCCTTATCCTGTCACCACTTCATTTGGATAGAATCAGCCAGTTCACAAAGCAAATTGAAGTCTGAACGGCTTGTACAGACAATGTGCATTTGTATGTTCCTCAAAACTGAAGGTTCTGAAGGAGGTGGAATAGTCCTCAAACCATGCATGTTCTGGCAGAAGATCCAGACATAAACTACTTTTGATACAGCTCTTACCACATAGGACACAACCTGCTGCAAAATCTAACTGCTGAAACCATCATAGCAAGGGATTCTAGAACCTTTTTGATGTATTCCTAACTCACTCAAGCTGGAGAGGTGGTAATAATTATCTAAGTTACTGAACCATTTTAAACAGGAAGGGGAACATGTAGCATAGTCCTCTTATATGCAGAAATCATTTCACAATGTGTGTGACAGATCACTTGCTTGAAACTTTTTTCCTAATTGAAAAACGTGGCTCCATGTGAAAAGCTATTGGGATGTGGCAGGATTCAATTAATTTCTCCATTTATACCAGAATTCTTTGTCTAATTGGAGCAATGATTTCAGTTCATTTCCTTGACTAGTAATATGAACATTTAACTTTCTTGCACCTCTTGTTCTTCTATTTTCCTTATCTGACACAAACAAAACAAAAGACAAAAATATTATTCCTGAAACAAGTAGTAGTTGTTACATCTCCATTTTCAGAAGGACATCTCCCAACCACAATTTTTCCTATATTCTTACAAACCACCTGCATTTTAGAAGCTGACACCAAGAAAGGAAACTGTAATTTTTATGTACAACATTCTGCCTTGTGTCTTTCTTCATACTGAGACGAAATAAATTGTACCAGAATTTTCATCTATAAAAATAGTTTTTTAAAAACTGAAGGTGAACCTAAAGCAATTTATGCATTGAACTTCAAATTAGGAATATTTAGAATGGGTAGAAATAGAATAGGTTTTCTATTTAACAAGTATACATTAAGTAAATCTGGCTGCAATCCACCATCTACTGAATGGCGCCATTCTCTTATTTGATCAAATAAGTTTGTAAAGCATTAAATGGGTTTTTAAAACATTACAAAAATGAAAAAAAAGTCTTGGAATAAAAAGAACATGAAGATTAATTTACCTCCCTCAAGCAGCACTATTATTTTCACACCATTTTAACTCACAAACCATCTTTCTCCAGTCTTCATAAAAGTATAATATTTGCATTTTTGTTCCTTGTTAATTCAAAAATTATTTCAAGCTGTCATCCCCAAAAGCAGGTGAAGCCTCTCCAAAATGAAAGTTTCATACTGGACATTTTTTCTTACATAAAGTTAACCAGAAGTTGGCAGTGTAATACATTTAGATTCTAAAGCATTTACCAACTCACACAAATCTCTCATTGACCAGTTCAAACTGAAGTAAAATCTTTAAAAGAAAAAGTACACAAAAAGTCTGTTACTTCTCAAAAATATCAAAATATGGGAATTCAGAAAAATTTCATGAAATCGTGCTGACATTTTGTAACCCTTTAAAAGTCTCCCCAAAGAGATTATGAGAGATAAGAATAGACCAGTGTCCATAACTGTACATAAAAACTGCCACCATTTCTCCAAGGTTCCATACTGTAGTTTAAAACAAGAATAATAAGCAGAGTATGGCACTCTAGCTGTTCCTGGATTACCACACTCAGCAATCTTCACTATTGGTCATACATACACAGTAAAGTTGCCTTTCCTTGCTTTATAAGCAGGATATCCATCAACTGTTAATCATCTGGATAGAAAGCTATTAAAATTCCAATTGATTTTACTACAGTAATTACATTCAATATCATTTGTGGTCTCGGGCAGTAGCTTCTGTTACACAGTATAAAGAAATATTAAATTATGTGAAACTGTTTATATGGTACGGGTACATATTTTATGAAAATAAAAGTATCAATCAAATGTAGTAAATATTTCAAAATCTAGTAGGCCAAACAAAACATAAGTCTATTATAAGTTATAGTTATGCTACGAAGAAGTTACAGTGTCCAAGAATTTGCCTATTAAGAAAACATATGTATACAAAGAGATTTTGAAGACACAAAATAGCAAGTAAGCACAAGTCCATTTCACTTGTGCTAAGCACAAGCTTTAATGCTTTGGCAAACATTCCCAAAATATCTGATCTGAAGATATATAGAAGCCATAGAAGTCCATTAAATAATCTGAAAATCCCATAAATTTACCAATGGCTCTTGAATTGGTTTAGAGGAGATTCAGTTCTAAAACCAGATTCAAATTATGAGAGGTAACTACTATTGAAAACAGGTTGATAACAAGAGAATGCGTGAATCAAACATTCCATAAATATAATTTCCATTATTCCTAGCCTAGGGTGAAGTGGGTTCCACTTTAAGGAATTGAGCATGAACTAGAGCATGAATTTAGAGCAAATCAATATAACAGGCAGAGGACGGTGAATCTCGCATGAAACTGTGCATTGAAGTAGATTAGTTCTTTGTGATAAATTAAAGGGAAATGATTGATTGCACTGAAATTAATTAATTCCATCTGTATTCAGAGTAGAGAAATATCTGCCATCTTGCTGTTGTTCTACAATTACATATCATAAACACTTGTCTAGTTTGCATTGGTATTGCATACAGAAAACATTTGCTGATAGGTTTCCATAGCTCTCTCCTCCACCTGGTGCCCTACAAGTTAGTTGGATTTCAACTCCCATGAGTCTAACTTTGCTTTTTCCATGGCACCCAAAGAATTCTAATTTTGAAAAGGTTTTCATCATAATACATGAAAAGTTCCATTAAAGCCTTACATTATAATTCAGAGGAAAAATGCCATGACTTCTGACTTCTCTATTACCAGCTTTAAAACTGCAATTAACCATACATACAGTATTTCTATGAGACATATGGTTGCAAATCCAGGTTACTAGATGGCAACAGAATTTTCTGTGACTCTTTGCTGTCATCTAATGGCATCTGGATTTTTACAGGTCAAATATGGCAGTGCTATGTATACCTGTGTGCAAGATTGTAGATACGTTTAATGTTATGCTTTCATTATACTCTTGGCACAAAGAGGTACTGGGGCTTTTGAAAAGAGGTAGGAAAGTCAGGTAAATGTATCTGTTCTTAAGTATATTCAAAATATAATTTACGCCAAATAAATAAATGGTGAAAGCAATATACCAACAGTAAGACTGAATGCTCAATAGAAAGTATCAGCATTAGGAGCAAAGTTTAAAAATATGAACTCACAAAAGAAATATATCTTATGAATTGATTAAAAAATAACAAAATATTCAATTACTAATTGCTTTAAAAAAACAAATACATTTGAGGGCAACAGTTTGGATGACTGTATGTTGTTGAGAAGCAAAGATTCCATCAGTGAAATGTTGGTATCAAATGCAAACAGCTGTAGAAATAGATGAATATTTCTCCCCAGATGATGCACCGAATTAATGAGTTGGTTAAAAGAATTTACATGTGAGTGAGAAACATAGACATAATAATCCTAGTCAGTTTGGTAATATAATTTCAGTCAATTTCCCCTTTTCTCTATGACTGGCACTACAGATTTTACTCATTAGAAAACTCCAATGAGGTTGCATTTAACATGCCTAAAACTGGATTTATTTCTATGCATTTATACAACTCACATGCTGAATTTATCCACCTCTATATGACATTTTCTTGATTGTTGCTCCTTATTTTAAAACAATTTTCCAAATAATAACAACACTAATTATAATTATAATAATTAAAACAGGCAGTTGAGCTTAATTCCCAGAAATGTGGGACATAAACTGGATCAAAAACATGGCAATTCCCTTTATATAAGCAATTCATATTTCTTCACCATACCATAGAAAAACCAGACTATCTAATTTTGGCAATAAATGATCATTCTTAAGTCTGAGCACCAAGGACCAGGTAAACAGTTCCTATAGAGTAGGTTACAAACAGAATAAGAACGTGTTGCTATTTTTCCCTTTTAGTCTAAAATATTTACAGTATTGCACTTTACTGCACTCAATTGCATTTCACTAAACGTAACACTGCATCAGTATTATGCTTTTAAAACTGCATGTCCATCTTTGATAGCTGAATCAATCTCTCGAGAGCAAGCCAAGGAGATTCTTCTTCTGAGAAATCCAGACATCTGGAAAACAAAGCAAGGAAGTCAACCTGTCCTTGTCTTACAACATATCTGCTTGTTCAGATGGTTGATTATTATTATGTTCGTTATCATTGTTTCCATCACTTAGATCACCTCTAATTTTTGTGTAATTTTGTCTCTCAAACTTTTGTGTTGTTGCAGCTCTTTGTAAAATATACAGCTGGAGGGTCTGCTATGTCCAGATTAAACTGCCTTATCTGTAATTTGAAATTCCATGTTTTAAATGTAAGCCACTTTTGCAAAAGCAGCTCCTTAATTCGTGAGCAATTTGTGAAATAGCTAGAATATACTTGGCAACTAAGGAGAAATGTTATGGTAACGGAGACCAGCCCCTGGGATTGTTTTCAAGCTTGGGTTTTGTTCCAGCAGAGTCTGTGATTTCCAAATGGTGTTAGATGTTAGGCACATGCACAACTTTGCAAAACTGATAGCAGTGAACAGTTTTAGGCTGATGATCACTTTGGCCATGGTCAAGCTCCAGTTGTCCCAACATTCAAAGATGCCACATAATTTGGAGAATTATCCCTCTCATCTTCTCTCCTCCCCAAAGTATTCTTGTTTTTTTTTTCTTTTGTAAAGTTGTTATTTATATCTTAAATTCAGACTCAGTGTGCCTCTGGTGGGAGTGAAAAAGTTTGGCTGCAATTATCAGCACTAAGCGCTTGGCCAAAATCAAAAAGGTAGACAGGTGGGTCCTTCGATCCTCAGATCAACTGAATCACTTCTTACATCTTGGAACGAAATAGGAAGAGGAAGAAGAGGGAAAAGCAAGGAAGAAAAAGCAGGCCAGTTCTGATTGTGCATCTATGAGGACTCCCAAGCTTTTCAAAATCTAGCACTTGTCCTTGTCTCAGCCAAGCATGGATGACAGCTGGAGAAAAGAAAACTATTGTCCATCCTGGCAATGAAACTGCTTCCAGAAAGGAAATGTCAAAGCCCTAGGGCCTCAGCATGTTTCCGAGCCTTGAGCCTCAAGTCAGCAATACTGGAATTCTTGCTGTTGCTCTTGGCGGCTGCAGCCACAACTGCAGCTGCAGAGGCAGAATCAGCCAAGGAGGCGATTGGGAGTCCAAAGGGAGGGGGAGGAAACATCAAGTAAGGGGCGTGAGCAGCTAGGTGAGGATGGAGGTGAGGGTGAGCATGGGTGACCCCTTCCAACTGCAGCTGAGCTTGGACCTGGAGGGGGGGAAAAGAACCATAAAGAAAATAGATTAACAGGAGATATTTCAACAGATATTCCAACAGGACAAACAGGCGTGTCAGCCCTACCAGACCAGGAAATCAATTCCACAAGGAGACTATACCTTATTGAGATGGGCATGATAATAGAATCTTGCAAGATTCTATTTATGCCCATCTCAAAAATCTTATTTATGTCATTCCGCTCTTTCTTATGCCCCAGTGGATCAGAGTGGCATTTGCTTGGTCTTGCTTCTCAGGGCTTCCACCCTCTTTCAGCCCTCTTTGTCTAGGTAATGGTTCTTGCATATTTTTGTCAAGGTCATCTCCCTTACTCTTTATCAGGCATTACTCTGTGGCTTTGTAAATGATTATTTATTTAAGTAATTTTAATTCTGTGAAGGTTGAGTATTTACCATTTATCTGTCTGGGGCACACAAGTATGAAATAAATAGTTGATGAAACAATTCTGTGGCTGACTAAGGACTGTGTAACACTTTAATTAACTTCATGTGGTACTTAGTATCATTTAAGTAATTCCTATAGCTCCATTCTTGCACTTTTGGGAATAGTTAACTCTTCAGATTGAAGTCCTTGAAGAAGAAAGGGAGGCAGAGATGGGATTGGATAGCACAAAAAGAGGCAGAAGGAGTAATGATGCAAAATCCACTCATACTAAATAATAGGTTCATCCTCTCCTTCATCTAGATCCATCTTCTATTAAAATATGGGTCCACCCATCATAAACTCATCTTCAGTATTTCAAGAGCCCTTCACTGAAAAAAGTTTTCCATTTCTGCTTTAAAAACCAAGCATTGCTGGGCATGATTTTGACAAAAATCATGTCTCTTCTTGTCAAATTGTGGTAATTTACACAAAGGGAAACTATACTTCTGTAACTCTCAATTATATGTGAGAACCGCCCCAAGATTATACTGATTTTTTTATGGCATTTATTAACGATTTTCCATAAAATAAAGAACAAAACAGGTGTGTTAAATCATGTCCCTTAAACCACTCCTACAAAACAGGTTGAAAAGTTTAACTCCACCCTTCCCCAGGTATCACTGCTGCCATCCAGGTCTTTTAAAAATGGAGCATGGTCTACAGATAAAAAAGTTGCCACATTGTTTAAGTGACCAGAATATCTGTAAACTAATACTCCTACTATTGTAATACTAATAGTCTTTTGATTTCACATTCTTTTTGTTTTTATCACTAATATTAAAAAATAGATAAGCAGATACTCAAAGATTAAAAATAAAAAAACTCATAATGAAGATACATTAAAGCAATAGCAATAACACTTAGACTTAGATACCACTTCACAGTGCTTTACAGCCCTCTCTAAGTGGTTTACAGCGTCAGCATACTGCCCTCAACAATCTGGGTCCTCATTTTACTCACCTCGGAAGGATAGAAGGCTGAGTCAACCTTGAGCCTAGTGAGATTCAATCTGCCAAATTGCAGGCAGCCGGCAGGAAGCAGAAGTAGTCTGCAGTACTGCATTCTAACCACTGCGGCACCACAGCTCTTAATTATATTTTCTTATAATCCAGAATCTATTATTGCACAATGCCACTGGGTGAATATATCACTCAAACTGACAGCATTCTCTTCCTTGCTACATTACGCTATCTATATTGATTATTGTAAATATCACTAAAAGTGTCCTTGTATGGAAATATTACAAACTAGCTTTTCCAGATAGAACCTCTCCTCCCTCCTATTCCCCCCCCCTCCCCCCGCCACACCCCTGCCCAGGGTCTGGCATTTGATGTGGTTGGACAGAGTCTTAAGGAGTTAGCAGTCAAAAGATAGTCTGCATCTTATGATAAAAGTAGGTTTGTTTCAGCAGAAATAATATAATGATAAATTTGAGCTCAATTCAAAATCTCTTGTCATCTCACTTATTGGAAGCATGATGCCTCAGGTATAGCATGTTGGTCTTTTTAAACAATAAAAACTATAATAATAATAATTTCATAAAGACAGCCAGGATGATATATAGAATATTTAGAATTAGGGAATTTATGGGATGTTTACTTTATCACAAGAGTGCTTTCTTTTCCTTTTCCTTTTAATATAGTGATTGCCTCCCTTTCCTTTCTGTGTTTTCATTCTCTAATCTGTTCTACATTCTCCCCAGATTCTTAGCCTCTTCCTCTTCTTCCTATAAAGAAGCATCTTTATATTCAAGTAAAAACAAGGATTGGTCATTTCAAGATTTCTTTCCTTCTCTTCCAGCTTAGTATTGTTATGATTCTGGATTTAAGCAGAAGATCTTATTTCATTTTAAATATGTAAAACAATTCTTTTTTACTCTTCCTGTCTTTATAAAATATCTACAATCTCATTTTTTTCCCAATTATTCCCAATGCTTCCTGCAGCCTCTTCTGCTATTATGGGTTTCCCCTTCCACTCTCTTCCACTTTCTCTTCTGAGTGATGGCAAGGGATACCTCTAGTACAAACATGAACATGAATATCAGAACCATGATATCCGCAAAGGGCATGAATTAATGTTGCATTGCAACATTCTGGCCACTGGTAATTAATAAGGATCCTTGCTTCCAAGCCCTTGTAAAGTTACATAAGTCTCATAGTCTACCATTGTCCTAAAAGATTTTCTTACCATAACTCAAACTCACAGGCCCTCTTAAGTTGTAATCAAACTCATCAGACCAAAACAGGCTTCTTTCTTGTGTACAGTTTTTTCAGAGTGGACTAAAAATAACTCTCTGCCAAATTTGAAATAGAAACTCCTCTCTATTTAGTACCTCCAATTACTGAGTTTGGCCTCCTTTCTTTTATTTTTAATCTTCAACTCATGGGAAATAAAATTAGTCCACGTGTATTAATTCTGTCTTTTTCTCTGGATTGTTAATCTCAAGCCATCTACATTCCTTTAGAAATATACCAACTGTACTGTTCTCCTGAAAAACATTTATATTCTATTTTACAGGCAGTTTAACTCTATTCCCAAGTTTCTTGCAGCCCCAAATAAGTTTATTGTTTCCATACCAAGGGCAGGCTAAAGAGACAGTACAATAGAGATTCCTGCAGTTCAAAACAAATGCTGTAACAGAGAATGATGAAATTATCAAAATAGAATGGTTCAGAACAGCAAGATACATAGAATTGTGATTTTCAGCTGCTCTAACAAGGCTATGGATGGCTGGTGACCACATCTAATGGGGGATTTTCCAGATGGATGATCACTATAGGTAAAGCTAAATCTCTTGGGATATAGTAGGGCAATCAACACCAAGTACTGGAGGACAGAATATAAAGAGTTGAGGGATATATACAAGGCACTAGGAGCAAAACTCCACAAGAGTTCTCTGGCTTTTGGTGCAAAGATCTAAGCATATTCCTGGCCGGGGGGGGGGGGGGGGTTTCCAGGTCCTTTAACATTTACATACAGTTTCTTTAAGAACTGTATATGGAAACACTTGTTCTTCAGGAAGATTATTGTGAAGCTCATTGGGTCTCCTTTAGTGAAATGAATTTCACAAAGACTTCTGGATTTCGCAAAGACATTTTTGGAAATGAATTTCACAAAGAGTTCTGATCCCAAATTCTACCTTTCAGCAGCTGACACTAAAAAGGGGAGATCTTCTCCTGGAAAATCAGAGGCACAGTCCTCTGATATACTTCAGCTTTAAACTGCAACATTTCCTTTTCATGCTGCCTGCGAGACTTTTTCATCTCAATTCTCTTAGCCTATTTTGCCCCCTAAAATCTGGAATATAAGGTACTACGCTGAGTTGGAGTTTCATTTTCTTTTTTAATCAGTAACAGTCTTCTTTTTCCACACTGTCTCCCTCCTGCTGAATATTCCAATGCCTACATTCCTTTGGTTTGCTCCAAAGGTCCAGTATCTGGCAGTCATTTCTGCTTACATCAATTTTTTTTCTTTTTTCCTATGTAGCTATCTACTATATATTTCTTCTCCTCTCCTCCCCCTGTTTTTCCCTTCATTCCCCTTTAATTTTGATTCTTGCTCTTTTTTTCCTTCAGGCAAATTCTTCTTTCTGGAATTTGTATCTCACTGCTTTGCTATCACATGTGCCAAAACCAGGTTCATTTTCCTAGAAGTTTATTTGGGGAATAAAAATGTAGAAGATAAGGAAGATGACCTTGATGGAAACACAGTAGAGGTAGTTCTTAACTTATGAACATAACTGAACCCAGAATTACAGTCATAGATCATGCTGGTTAAGCGGTCATCAAGTGACCAACCCAATTTTAGAACATTTCTTGTGACAGTCCTTAAGCAAATCAATAGGATTGTTAAGCAAACCCATTTTTCACAATGGACATTTTTTGTGGAAACCAATAGACGCCAGTCATAAACTGCAGTCACATAACCATGGGATCCTGCAAAAAGTCATAAATGCAGGCCAGTTGCCAAGCACTCAAACTGTGATCAAGGGAAAGTGAAGGAATAATTTACATGCTGCTTTATCCTCTCTATGCCTCCTATGAAAGCTTCTGCTCTAATCGTCAGTGGTCAATGTGACTCTTTTTTAAAGTGTTGACTCCAAATTCTCTTTGCTTTCTACCATTACATATAAAAACCTATCGAGTTAATTGATCACCTGCATTCCACTAAAGCATGTGTAATTATTCCTTCATTTTCTCTTTAATGGGTTTTCCTTAAAAGAGAAATGATGTAGGATCTGATATGAAAATATAAAAATGACAAATATCACGCAGGGAAGTCTAGAGGACATTCCTAAAATCCCACCAAAAGAATCCACAGTAAACCTGAACAATAGTTCCATAACAGCTTATTCAGACTTCCCTCTTTCCCTACAAGACTTTTACAAAACAGCTAAGAAAAAATGTTTCCTTGAAAAAAAGAGGAAGACTAAATTTTTTGCTACAACTCTGACGAATTAAAATAGGAAAAACACAGACTTATTTCATTCACCCACTAAATTCTTTACTCCAAAAAGCCAGAAATGATGGCACTTTTTTAATTTAAAAAAGAATAATGGCTTCAAAAGAAGCCCGGCAGAACTGATGTTATTATTAACAGGCTTTTTAACATACAACGAAATCTTTTGCAGAAAATAGACTCAGCAGCAGTGATATACATAAGCTTATTTTTTTAATGTTATGAATATACTTGGTTTTAGACAGCAATCTAACCTAGAAAATTTTGAAATTAACTAGAAAGAAAGAAGGATGGTAGAAAGAGATGGGAAGGAAAAATGTTAGCACCCAAGAATAGAGGATCAGTGTTCAAATGCTAATAAAGCTGCCTCTGTCCCCATTAGTTTCATTTTTATCTTGTTATGAGCAAAACTGCCTTCTTTGTGCTATTTGAAACCATGTTGTTCCATGTTCAATCCTAACAGAAGCTAGGTCTGTAATAATTGTGAAATTATTAAAGACATTGATAATATCCTGTGATAAGGTGGCACAACACTGTGTTAAAGTCCTTTTCTCTCAGTTATTATTGACACAAGAATCTTCCATTGCTTCCCCCTGGATTATGCTGCCCTTATCTTGTTCCACATTTTAAAGAGCTTTATAGCACCTTTGAATTCTGGGAAGTAACCAGAAATTCATGATTAATCTGCCAAAGGATATAAACTTTGTTCTGTTTCCTGTCCAGAAATACTTGTATGTACAATGTAGCCTTCATCAGTCATTGACAGATTTTGCGGGGGAGGGGAGGGGTTGCATAAATTTTATACAGGGAGCACAAAATACATGCCGCTAACTACTGGTCAGCCAATCAGCACCTCACAGTGTGCTTCCTTTCCCACCAGCAGAACAATGTAACAGGCTATTCCATTAAGCATTACTTTGATGCCACAAGGGTTTAGCTGTGCTAAAGATCCATGATACATCATGTAAAAAAGTTTCCTCTGAGTTGAAATGGACTCCGCTTGACTTCACCAATGCATCCTACCCCTGTAGTTTGCCATTTCCTTTTTCTGGAATATTTTTTTTTCAATTTCAACTTCCTAATCCTTGTATTTCCTGGAGCTCCCCAATCCAAGTACTAACCAGACTCAAAGCTGCCTATTTTTCATACCTAGAGAAAACCAGCCCTACCGAAGAAACACAGAGTGTGGATTTGGAAGGAAGGACAATAACTAAATCTTATTTTCTGCTTGCTCAGACTACATGCTAAGGATGTATTCCCCCACAGCTGGAAACATTTCTCACTTTGCATTCACTATAATAACTTGTTTTGGATGTTCAAAGTGCTCAGAAAGCTGAAATTCAACAAATGCACTCCAGCAACATCTTTTGGCTGAAGTTTTACCTGTCACTATTAGCAAGTATTTTGGAATCAAACTGAGATGCTGGTCGCAATCAATAGGTATATACACTGTAGGTTTTTTATTTTATTCTTATGTATTTATATGTCAAGTTTAGAGACTGCCCATCTCACTCACTAACCGGCTATGTTACAAGAGTGTGGCAGAGATTAAGCATATTAGAATTCTACAGAATATTGAGGGGATGACTTTTAAATAAACCTACTCTGCTAAAAACTTTCCAGATTTCTATTTTTAAAACCAGAAGCCAAGACACCAGGAACTATTGGTAATGAAAGCCCTTCTGTGTACATATGTCAGAATATGTCCTTTTGTCATACATTCCTTCTCTCCTTCTGCCCAAATACTAACTTAATAGTTCGAATCTCGCCAAGGCTCAAGGTTGACTCAGCCTTCCATCCTTTCTAAGGTAGGTGAAATGAGGACCCAGTTTGTGGGGGCAATAAGCTGACTTTGTATAAATATACAAAAGGATGAAGGCTATTGCTGAGCACATTGTAAGCCGCCCTGAGTCTTCGGAGAAGGGCGGCATATAAATCAAAATTAAAAAAAAAAATAGTTATCTTAGACAGGTCGCTCTGGAGATGAAAATTCAAATAAGCTACCTGCTGGAAAGGCATCCTTAGGGCTCCCATGTTCACGTAAGGGGCCACTCGGCAGGCGTCTAAATGACTGGCCGTACCCAAGATCACACCTGCAAGCAAAGGTATAGGGTCAGGAAAGAGTCTTTGGAAAGGTCAGTCTGCCCCACTTCCTTCCAGGACCTACCTTTATGCATCTGGTTCTCTTGTTTTCGGCATTTGGCTCTTCTGTTCTGGAACCAAACCTGCCAAGTGGAAAAGAAATGTTGGCAGTAATAAAAGCAGTCGGAAGCAGCATTGAGCTAAGCAAAATCAGTCTATGACTCCCCAAACTTTCTTAAAAGCTAGGAAACAGGAAAAATGTGTGGTTACAGAAATGCTTGTATGAGAAGAAAGACAATCTGAAATTGTTGTTAGATGTGATGAGCAGGTGAGGACAAAGGTCTCAAGTAACTTTTTGGTTCTAATATTCAGAATAAGTTCCTGAGAAGAAAATCTCTTCATTTCAGTATGTTTGTTTGATATCAAAAGATGATTTTTAGAAAAGTCATACACAATAGAGCTCACAAGATAAAAACCTATTCTTCGTGGCTAAATTAAGCCCAAAAAAAGCAGTAATAACACTACTATAGTACCATCCCTTGAGGTTCTACTCATAATTAAATCCCACTGAGCTCAAGCAACATTTCAGCAGATTATCATTCTTAAAATTTAATGGGATCTTGACTCCCCCCCCCCTCTTTATTTTTCCCACCTTACTCAGTTATGGATCTGCCTTCCCCAATCTGCTGATATCTATATGTGTTAAAACACTTTATGCTTCATCTGCAAATGACAATAGCCAGGGCTGGGTCACTGGGGATGATGGAAGATATAGTCCAACACATCCACCTGGCATCTGAGTGGGCAAAGCTGCTGGCATAATGGGATTAAGGGGATGTGCTTCAAACCATCCAGATGTGATTTTTTTTTGTAGGTGTTAGAAGGATTCAGGACATTCAATGCATAAAGTTGCTTGCATCCACACACCTACTTAACTGGCCCAGTTCTGTGCTAAAATGGGCTGTGTATGCCTTGTCCACCCCCTTAATTAGATTGGCATCCTGAGACTTCTTAATAATCATATGGTTATTAAAGGCATTCGATCAAAATGATACAAGGCCTGAGAGTTTTCCATGAAAGGACTACAGGCGCAAATAGTTTTAACCAGTGGTGGGATTCAACTAATTTAACAACTGGTTCTCTGCCCTATTGATTTCTTCCAACAACCAGTTCACTAAACTGCTCAGAAATTTTAACAACCGGTTCTCCCGAAGTGGTGTGAACTGGCTGAATTCCACCACTGGTTTTAACTCCATCCAAAAGGGGAAAATGAATTAAATAGCCTACAAGTGGGGAGAAATGGGAATTGGGCTCACAGCTGCTGCTATGAATAGATCTCCAGCATCCCCAGCTACAAAATGAATAGGTTACACCTCCATCCTGTGCTTGAATCACTGCAAAGAAGTCTTCCTCAATGCTCCTAAATAAAGACTTTTAAAAGAGCCATAAGAAGTTTCCTTACAATGAGGCAGATTCAAAACTCACTTTGCAGCCTCTCTAGACCTTACATACAGATGCCTGCTTGGAGACCACATCCATTCCCAGTGAGGTTGCTGCCTTTCAAACCCAATGGCTGGGTTGCCCAAATCAAACCACCCCTTCAATAATGTGACAATCCTAGCTGCCTTTGCACATGCTGGGAGTTCTCTTTTACAAGCTTAAAAATTGAAATTGAAAATTCATTATATAGCAAAACTTATGCTTGTGTATTTCTGACTTGCTAATCTGGAGCCCCGCATTCCTTTGTGGGGTGGTACATGCTGGGATTTGTGGTTCAACATTCTATGGAAGTTTCCAAGCTGGGAAAACATCCTGAAAGGTCTGAGTTTGGATTTCAAGGACACTGTGCAAAGCACTGCATTGCTCTTGTCGTTCCAAATTTAACTGGGATTTATACACTTTCCTAGAGTAGCATGGGGCTGCCTGACTAAGAACTCTGGTTTTCCTATCATTTCAGTATCCCAGAAATAGTAATGTTAACCATATGGATGGTACACACACAACATATTTGCCAGTTTGCTGCTGCTTCTTCTTCTTTTAGACAAAGCAAATTGTGTCTTTGGCCTCAGGGGCTGAGTGCCTTATATAGGAACTGCTATTTTATCCATCTAGTGAATTCTGGAAAGAACAGCATGACACAATTCCTCCTACTGAGAAAACTGAATTATGTCTTCAATATTGTGATTGCTAAACTCACTCTTCTAATAGGACTTCTACCATTCTGTATAATTTGGGGTAGGTATTTAACTTATCTAACCACTGATTTACATTCCAGTTTGACCACAATTGCTTATTTTGACAATCTTGTCTTGAAAAAAAATCTTATGGTAGGTTTATAAAAATGAGTCTGGGTGAAGTAAACCTAACTGCAGAATAAATAGCATTCCAATAGACCTGCGAAATTAGTATTTGGACTCAAAGTTCAAAACAATTCCTAGAAAGTCTTTCTAGAAAAGTAACATCATCTATTACAAAAAGGGGGGGGACAATAGTGCTACCATAAAGCATTCTCTTTCAGTCTAGAACTTCAAGATGTGCTGGACTAGCTCCCAAAATTCCTAACCAGGATAGTTATGAGAATTAAGGAAGAAGCGATCCTACATATCTGGATGGGCACCAGGTTAAGAAAGGCTTCCATAAAGGCCTGGGTAGTTTTTGAGATATGAATTCTTCTTCCTAAATACACAGAAGAACTTGTCTGTCAATTTGAAGGGCTTATTTCTGAGATCCAATTTGATGTAATGGTTAAAGCACCTGGCTAGAAAGTGACAGACCATGAATCCTAGTCCCATTTTAGGCACAAGGCTGGCTGGGTTATCTTGGACCAGTCATTCTCTCTCAGTCCCTGGAAGAAAGCAAATGCAAACCACTCCTGAAAATCTTGCTAAGAAAACTGTAGGCAATTCATCCAGGCAGTTGCCAGGAGTCAACAGTTACTTAGAGACAATATACATAGGATAAGGTTTTAAAGTGCTGCAATTTAAATTAGTTTTCAGGAAGGTGGATATGACACTCAGAACTGAATTCACACTTAACAATTGGAAGACTTGAGATCTCAAGTTTCTTCATCTCTATATATGAATATACAATTTAGTTATCTTCTTTGAACATGCTTAGCTAGGATTCACTGAATCATGTTTTTCTCAACTAAGTTTTTTGGGATTCCCACACATTCTTACAGCTAGGTGGCAGCACCTAGATAACCTTGGCTGATCAGGAAAAAGCTACGTCAAGTTGTATTTGGTTAGTGCTGTATTTAGATGAGAGAGCATTGAAAATCTGAGGGAAGTAGGAAGTTACAATCTCAGAAGAAGGCAAAGATGAAGCACTTCTATACCATTGCCAAGTAAACCACTTCTGCTGATCATGTGTCCACGTGATCAGCAGAAGAGGAACTGGACTTGGGAAAGCCTATCTTTTTACAACCCAAGAAACCCTAAAGTCACCACGTGAATTGAGTTTGCATCATGCATAAATGTTGTAGTAGGAGAAATGCAATTCTGGTTGTGATGCAAACACAGTCACTAAAAGTCACTAGGGAAAGTATCAAGTCTGGCTGATTTTCAGTTGTACTTTTAAACTTCTGCTTTAATTAGGTTGAGAATATGAGGCTAAAATCCACAATCAGTCCATGTAAATGTGTCTTTTTGACATTCCTTCTGGCTGTTGAAACAGGCATAGCTTCCAGCAGGCAATCAAAACATTTCTAGATCTGGGTTTAACAGATTAATATTAATCCTGTGCGACCCCCCCCCCAGCTGATTCATTGTATTTTATTCTAAAACTACTGCAATCCAGAAAATCTGCCTTCCCTTTTGGAAATGCCTTCTTGTGAAGCTGGCGTGACACTGCATCTCACTGACCGACCCAGTAGCCAAGGCGTTTATCCTCCTGCTAGAAATGTTTCAAACCTGGTTTGGAAAGATACAGCCTCCCTGCAAAGCACACACACACACACACACCCTTTGCTTCCCTAGCCAGCCAGCCTCCCAGCCCTGCTTGTGATGGAGACAGATCAAATCTAAGAGTTGAGACTGTGGCCCTTTGCCCCGCCCCCTGCCGAGGTCTTCCGCTTGCCAAGTTGATCATACGCTTAATTAATACTAACTGCACTTCCTACATCACATTTCGCCTCCAAGCTTTCTTCAATTGCCTTAATGATGGCCATTTACAACGGAGTAATTAGTGCAAAGAAAGGCTTCCAAAGACATTAATTATCCAGAGCTACTGGAATGGTTTCTTCAACAGGAATTGGCCGTCTTTACATTGCAGCACGTGGGATAGTCTCCCTTTCCCCGCGGCACCCCCAATAACCAATATGCGAGACCTTGAATTAATGCAGTGAGTAGCCGAATTAAAATAAATGCAAACGCATTTTGCAGGGTCCTGAAACTTTTAAAACAAGAGCTCGTTTTTTCCCCACTTCGCGGTTCTCCTCTACTCTTTTCTAACTAAAAATCAGCACCCCTTGTTTCCCTCAGTAGGTTCTCGAAATGTTCTTCCCAAGATAGAAACAATTCCTGTCCTAGCGACATCAAACAAACTAAAATTTCGAGTCGAGTCTAAATCATCTTCCCTCCGTCTCCGTTGGGAAACAACGCCATTGATTTCGAGGCAACTGGGTTTCTCGTAGGCGTGTCTTCAGACTACCAGCTTTAATCGATTTCAGGCCGAGAGTTTCGGATTTAACTGGATTTTGTTTTGACCGAGAGCAACACGAATCTCCCCTGAAATGAAAACTCCAGCCACCACAGCTTTAGCATAAAAAATAAGTGATAACACCCATCAAGATAAATTCTTGATTTTATAAAGCCAAGTCACTTAATCGGCAATTATTAAAGGAGTCTCTAATTTGCTTACATGATTTTTTTTTCTTAAAAAAAAAGACGGATGTACATTTAAGATGTTGGGAAAGGGGAGCCATTAGCTTCCTTTGGCCGAAAAGTAGCTAAATTCTAGGGGTTTGACATGACGAGGGTCCTTCCTTTTTATTACACCCAAGGTCACGCTGACTTTCGCTGCTTCGGCTTAGAAGCTTGACGCCATTCACAAAGATGGATCCTCTGCGGATCTCTAGACCGATGGGTCGTCTATAGCGAAACCTTCTTAGTATCTTCCTACAACCCGAAAGCCGGTTCCAAGGGCCTCTCTGACTCCCGGCCTTGAGCCCCGCTCTTGCCCTCGGTCCCGTCCGCTTAGGCCCAAGGGCTCTGCCAGCTCGAAATGTCAGAACGCCCCTTCCCTTTTTCAGCCTCCGGAAGAGGCGAAGGAGAAAGTGAGGAGGAGGCGTGGAAGTGATGAATTAGCCCAAGCGCAGAGTCTTCATAAATCAGCCCGGGTGTGATTCCCGATCAATTCCAACTAGTCATGAATATGCTAAGTAAAGCGCAGGACAGTGTTTTAGACAGTTATTTCTTCATTAAGGATCACTCAGTGATTTCTTTCACAAATGCTCTAATCTGATTTCCTTTTGATTTCCATTAGAGACAGTGAATAATGACATTTAATTTAGCCCTGCGCCATAAAACCCAAAGATATTTGCTCGTAATTGAATTACTGCCTACCCTTCACTACGGTCTCATAACTTTCAATTATAACACTGACAGCTGGGCGATATGAGTTGCCGGTACAACACTAAAAATAAAAGGTTAATAAGGAGTAGCTACCGCAGGAGCTCCAATTTATTTGCAGCAGATTTCCACACTAAATTGAAACTAGATCCTTTAACAACAAGGGACAGGGGCTATTGACTAGGGTTAGAAGACAATTCTGAAAGTACTAAAATATCTGTTTTCGGGTGGGGGGAGAATCTACCTAGACTCTTCCGTTCCTTCCTTTCTTTTACCAAACAAAAATAAGATCTTGATCCACTCCTGTCACGCACATCAAACCCTGTTTATGTTTTAATTAAGGGCGGTCGGTTTTCTCGGCGGCCCCTTCTCTTTTAAATCTTTCTTTCTTTTCCATCAGGCTGAAGTCTTTCTGGGGGTATGGCTTTTATGGGTTTCGTGTGAAAGAGCGGGCAATTTTGCCCGGAGGAGGGGAACGGTTAAGGGGAGCGGAGAACAAATATTTCAAAAACCTGCAAACACTTGGAACGCCAATTTTCCTGTAACTATGAATATCCTGTTAGGGTGCTGGACTAACCCCAGTAATAAACTGTTTTAAAGAAAGAGTGCAGAATTCAATTACAAGCAATTTATTTTTAGAGAAATGCTACAATTTATTTTAATGAAAACTTTATATCATAGCCCTCTCAAGAACATTACAGGAGCCTTTCTCTTGTAAGGAATTGGAAAACGTGACATAAAAGTTGATGTAGCCTTCAGCCAAAATTTAATCTCTTAATTCATTTATTGTAGCTGATTATAGGGGGGAGGTGAGAACTGAAACTACTACAACCTTCTTGGTCATTTTCCCTGCTACTGTTTCTTTTCCAAAATCAGCAAATGTACATGAAATATTCCCGTTACTTGTCATAAAAAAAGAAAAAATATCACCGTCATCTGGAAGGGGGGAATTACAATGAAAACGATTATTTATTACAATCTAAACAACAAACTTGTTTCCCCAGGAGTATGTGCTGGTCTCTAGAGATCTAATTCTGGTGATTAGTTTAGAACACATGCTCAATAATATTAAATCCATGAGGAGGAAGTCGATCTGATGGAAAACTAAGGAGAGTCTAAAATCAAAGCATCCCGTTGAGATTCTCCTAAGGATGCCTTCCCTTCCTTCCTCACCTCATAAAATAGTCAAAAGAAAGGGCAGTAAGCTCCCGGGCGTAATTTTTCTTCACCTGCCTTTGACTTTAAAACCTTGTCCTATAATTCCACAAGATGATTTTATCAAAATCCCTTTCCTTCTAACTGAATGGGTCATTATTACCAATACTGGCATTCCTTTAGCTTTGCGGTCCATTTGTTTATCTGTTACTTCAGAAGAGGTGACCTGTAACTTTTACATAAAACCATAGGCTTAACAGTTTGAAGAACTGAAGCCCAGATAGCTTAGTAGATCTAATTACTACCAGTGATTACCAGTATTTGTATCTTTTTGCTGCCATCTAGTGGTAGCCCGGATTTCTTTTGCCCTAATATGGCAACCCCAGAGATGGGTGGACGGATGGACGGATGTGGGACAAAGACAGAGAGAAGATGATAAAAGATATAAATTGGAGATTAGATAGATAGATAGATAGATAGATAGATAGATAGATAGATAGATAGATAGATAGATAGATAGATAGATAGATAGATAGATAGATAGATAGATTACACAAATCACAGATGCCTTGGCGAATTATCAGTACATAATTCAAACCAATTCTTAAGGATTTAGAGACATTATATTTTAAGGGGCATCGGGGAGGGAAGAGCAGATGGGGCCCTATGAATTCATGCTCTTGTTATGCAAGTCAAACAGAGGCACATTTCCCCCCGGCTCTGGATTATTTTACTCCCAAAGCACCCAGCTTTTTCCATAGCCATTGTCCCCGCCCCGCCCCGCCCCGCCACAGAGCGCAACAAAAACAAAAGAGAAAAGCGAAAGGTTCTTTCGCTCCTGGCTGGGTCTGTTATATCAAGCAGCTGATTGGTTGGAAGTGGGATCAAGGAGACGCCGAGCGTTCGGTGGAAAGGAAAGGCTCCGAGGGGTCAAGAAACCGAGCGCAGCAGCCCAAGTTCGAATCCTCTCCCCATCTCGCCTCCTCCCTCCCCCCCCCCGCTGCCTTGACACGTGTCCTGATATTGTTCGACAAGGAAACTAGAAGTCCAGACCAGAGGACGGACGTCTCTTCCTCCTTACCTGCACCCTAGCTTCAGACAGCCCCAGCCTTTGACTCAGTTCCTCCCTCATGAAGGCATCCGGATAGTGCGTCTCGTCGAATAACCTCTCCAGCTCGTTCAGCTGTTCCAGGGTGAAATTCGTTCTGCTCCTCCGCTGTTTCAATTTAGTCTGGCCGTCCTCGTCCTCGGATTTCACCTCCTCCCGCTTGTCTTTGCATTCATAGATCCCTAGGGTGGGGAGAAAAGAGAAGGAGAAAGGGAAAACATCAGACCTGGATGGATATCAGAAGCCTTCTCCAAAGAGGGAGATGTTTTCCTAAGTAACCGAACAGGCGATTGACCCCAAGAGCTGAGAATAAGAAAAGGCGAGAGAGTTTAGTTCTGATACTTCGGATAGGATTCGGTCAATATTCGTTAACGAGTCTAAGGGATGATTTAAGCAGGCTTCGTCTCTCGCAAAGACACTTCCAGGGTCTCGTGGGATTCCCTTTCTTTCATAGGAGACGGGATGGCGGTCTACAGGCAGATACGCTGTGCAAAGGGAGTGCCTTAACCTTGCCGTCTGCCTGTTTTAAAAGTCTCTACTTTTTCCAGTTCTTGTGGGCAATTCAAAAGACTGAGTCAGCTCCACCGATCGAAGCGTTATCATGTTAGCTCTGATATTCGATGTAGAATTAACCCAGATCTCAATAACCAGAACCCCGTCAGCTCTTCATGATACTGTAAACAATTTAGGGAACAGGTAACCAGAAATCAATTTAGACTCCATCCCGTATTTTCTCCATACACGCGAGTCTGTTGCCTATTCACTTTATAGATAGGTCCATATCTATGCTTAGCAAACATGCAGAAGTGATGCTGCAGAATGTTTTCAACTTTCTCGTTTAGCCTACAGACAGAGGATTTCTAGGTGGTGTCTTGTCCAAGTACTAAATGTTGTTAGGCTTGGTTTTGTGTTAAGTAAGACCAGCCCAGTTCTGCTAGGTAAGAGAAGGGTTAGCGGGGTGGGAAGCACGGCGAAAGCTTAATGGGATGGGCAAACCTTCGGATCAGAGTTATAAACCTGTTTTATACCGTCAGTTTAAGCGAGCCTTGGAGGGGGGGTGTGTTAAAAAGAACAGAAAATGAAGGGGCGGGGGAAGGGGAACAAGTCTCCATTCACGAGAAAGTGATGGGAAATGTCCTTAACGTGCTCTTATACAGTTGAAACTTGGAGGGGAGGGGGGGTTTCGGAGATTCGTTTAAATATTTGATGCAGGGAGAGTCCCCTCTACACCACTTTGTACAAAAGTTTACACATCCCAAGGATTCCGCTCTACGTGTATCCCCTCTCCAGAAGTATTGCCTATGGGAAAGAGTCCTCGCTAGACACCAAAGGGTCTGGCTACCGTGAGAAACCCACCAGACACGCATAGCCCCCCAGGCGTCATGCCAGCGCAAAGAGCTTGTAGAGAGGACCACTAAGCGTAGGAGGAAGGACGCAGGAGAATTTTAGCCGGATCGGGGAGGAGAAAGAGGGGAACGTCCTTTTCTACAAATTCGGGAAGAAAGAAAAATGTGTGGGCTTGAGTTGGCAAACTAAAAAGAAAAGTAATTGCCTAAGGGGTTCTTGTTGGCAAGAGGGACCCTATAAGGCCCGGCCAAGGGGGGGGGGACAAGAGCAGGGAGGGATGGGGCAGGGGTGGCTGGTGGAATGGAGCCTTCTGTCCCGGTTCTGTCTTGGGGAAAACAGCGGGTCTCCGAAGGCATAAGGAGGGAGACCTCTGTCTTGATTTTGAGGGCCGCTCTGGAAAACTCAGGATTAAATTCCCAGGTTCAAAAATCACCATTTTTGGAACATGAGCGCGACAGAGCCCTGTTGGCTCCTTTTTCTAGGCAATGGTTTTCTCTTGGCCCCTGCAGCAAAGGAAGCTCCCGAATTTTTCTTTTAGTTGTCACAAAAGATGTGTTCCTTAGAGATGGATTTCCATATAAATGCACCCTAAAAAAATGGCTGCAATGGAAACCGGTTGCTGATTTCCTTTAACTTCCTTCCCCTTGCTCAATGAAATCAGTTCACTATACTATAAAGCTAAAATTTGGAGACTATTCATTTTAGGACACACACTGAAAAGTCACTTCGAAGAGGATTCATCTGTGGCAGCCCAAGAAAATTGTAGCGGAGTTTTTTTTTTTTTTGTTTGTTTGTTTTTTGAAAGAGCTTTAGCCTACTTGAATTCTCAGTCCAAGTCTCCCAAGGAACATAAAAGCGGCGGCGGGCCGGGGGCGGGAGGGGGACCCATAGTACCGAATTTTTTTAAAAAAAAATACTTCCAGATTATCAGCGCTAGACACTGTAGTTAGAATTTTTTTTTTACACTACCACCAGATCAAAGTTATAAGAATCTAACCAACTATGGTCGCGAATACTCGGATCTTTGTAAACCCCTCAAGTCTCGCTCCAGGATTTTCATCGAGTTCCAGAACCAGAATTTCCCCATTTGCCATACAGCTGCCCTTCCTTTACAAGGACGTTTCGAGTATTTTATCCACGATGTTTATTAAGCCTCTGGATGGACTTTTCTTTTTTCTATGAACTCCAGGTTTGTGGAGCTATGAACACTTCATTTCAGACTGACCGCAGACTTTAATTTTGTAGGAAAGATTTGGATATTGTGGATAAACAACACATTTTGGTAAGCATTAAAATCACTTTTCTATATACAGATGAGAGAGAGATTTGTATATAGTGCATTTTCAAAATGTGATTTACAGGCTGCGTGGATTCATGCATCTTGGGAGGTTATGCACACATGCATTAAAACTATTTAATCTTTACAGGCTTTTCTAAATAATACGGGTGCTTTGGTTTGTTAGCATCTGAGTATCCTGGATAATCGTTAGAACTTTATTTATATTCAGTCATTCTTGAACTGATAAACAGATAGAGATCGATCGATCTTAAAATCATTACAATAAGACCGCTGGGAATATAAACTATCACTTCATCCTAAAGCCAATCTCTTTCTTAGATCACAACAGATCTAATAAAAAGCATAGGGCAAGTCCAGCTGATACTACGTGGGATTTTAGTGATAGGGTCTTTCTGACAACGATTGAACATCTGCTTATCTGAACCCATTTAGAACAGAGGAACCCCCTAAAATACAGCTAATTGATTTACTTTTCAATAGACACGTCAAGGTTCATCTATAAATTGCCAGACATCAATAACGCCAGTGCCTCGGATTGTTTTAGAGAAGAAGAATGGAGAAAGATTCCTGTAAGAAACGGAATTAGAGTTTTAAAAGACTGACCTTTCTCTGCTCTGCTTTTAATACTAAAGCAATCACCGCCGAAACTGCCAGGAGCCGGCGGTGCTTTCGTTTCGAACCTAAGAGATACTTGGATTTAATTCTATCGGGTTTGCCCAGAAGCAGAAGTGGCATAAAACTCAGTCTAAGTGGCCGAAGAAATGCTTGCTTAACTTCCTATATTGGCGGGGGTCTCCTTTTCTGTAGACCGTATTTAAAGCTTCCTATACTGTAGCCCTAACTCTTTATCCAGTTCGACAAACCCTTAAAGGCCAGAAGCAAAAGCAAAAGCAGTGCAGTACAGCAGTTCAGGTGAAAAGCTTGGAGATCATCTCCATCCATCACCACCTCCCAACAAAAAAAGATTTGTGGAATATCCTAAGCGAGGGGATTCTTTCGTGTTTTCCCTTTGCCTGACAAGCCTCCGGCCAACTCATCTTGAGCTTATTAGCTCTTCCCCCCACCCACCCCCCCAAAGCTCCCCACATCTCCTTACTGAAATAATTTTAGCTATTCCGCCGAGATCAGACCCAGAACCAATTCTGCCCAACGCTCCGACTTTAAATTGGCCGCGAAGGAAAACGGGCCGCGCGCGAAAACTCTTTTCCTTCTATTGTTTAAATTCACCTAAAGAAAGGAAAGAGGAAGCGGGGTTGCTGAAGTTTGAGATTCGTTTTCCTATTTTGAATGCTCTTCGCTGCTGCTGCTGTTCCTGCTATTATTATCACCGTCACCATGTCTACTCCTATTACCGTCCCCCACCCCCACTCGGCCCCATCTCTAGTCTACAGTTTCGCCAAAGCGGCCCCCCGGGAAGGAAGCGCGGGACGGCCCAGGACGGCAGAGAAGCATCTGCTGGGCGCCTGCGGGGGTGACAGAGTCCTCTTTACCTTCCGAGGTCCTGCTGGCGTGGTTGAAGTCCTTGAGCTTGTCCTTGTCGCTCTCTCCAGGCTCTTTGAAAAGGTGGACCGGACAGTGGGGGCCGCCCTCGGCCAGCTCCTGCAGGCTAGTGGCATCGGAGCCGCCCAGCTCCCGAGTCCGCGCCAGCCCGCTCTCCAAAACTTCCCGGTACGTGATGGACTCCTTCTTGTGACTGCCGCCTCCTCCTCCTCCTCCTCCTCCACCTCCTCCACCACCACCTCCGCCGCCGCCACCGCTGCTCTCTTTGCTTTTCTGGTCAAAAGATTTGGACACAAACGCCGTAAGTTCTTCCATGACGACCCGGCCGGGAAAGGGATGAAGCCGGGCTCTAAAAAACCCCGCCGCCACCAAACCGCCAGGCCAGCTTGTTCCACCGCCAGCGATCCTGCTGTTGGGCTTTGCGCAACTCGTCTGATGCGGCTCCGCTCGGGAGTCCTGGCCGAGGGGTCCCTCTTGTCCAGGCTGGGGAGGGGGGGGGCTGTAGAAGCGCGCACGCGCGCTCCCGCCTATGTGTGAATGTGTGCGCGCGTGCTCGCGCGCTCAGATACCCCCTTGTCCTGGAGCTGTAGAAACACAAGAGACTGGATCGGGGTTGGATCACTCCCGCTGTTATTTATGCCTTTCAATTTGAGATCCCACTATTTATACCGGGCTACTTCAGCCCAGCCCCCCCAGCTCTCGCTGTCTCCAGCAATTATTGCCTCTTTCCGAATCGCAGGCAGACGCCGAAGAGCGTTTTCTCCCTCCTCGGGCCAGCAATTGGCTTGCTTTACGTTTCATCACGCGCTGGCGTCCGCTGCACCTTGATTTCGGGAGCCAAAGAGCAGAAAGAGGCGGAGGGAGAAAGCCAACGAGCCCCTCCCTCCCCGCCACCCCCCCCCAAACAGGTACCTCGTGGCCGGCGTGCTTTGTCAGGGTTTGCAGGAACTCGACCGACGAGGGGTGTGTGGTGGAGAGGGGGAGGGGACCAAAGTCGAAGAAGACTTTATTGCCTGCCACGAGCTCGCGTACACGCGTGGACTTATAGGAGACGGACAAGCGGGCAGGGGAGGAGAGGAGAGGCCAGAGGGAAATAAGCGGATGGTTCAATCCAAAGGTAAATCCGGTCCAGCTGGAAAGATCAGTATTGTTTGATAACTGTTGGGTCTTTCTTGATTTGCGTCGCCTTTGTCGGTCTTCTAAATCCTCAATATGGGGGGGGGGGTTCGGCTGTGGGCTCCCGCAGACTTTCGGTGGCGAGACCGTTCCGCGCAAGGAGGATGAGCGAGAAGTCGGGAGGCTTCACGGCGTTTGTTTCTCTTGCCGTTCTATTACAAGTTAGGTCAGGACACACACACACACACACACACACACACACATATACAGAGAGAGATATACCCCGCCCTCAGGTACCGAAAGGGAGGGGTCCAAGAGAGAAAGAGCAGATCAGTTCCATTCTCACCTGACAAACTGCAGGCTTGTTTGCCCTCGCAGGCAATGCTATCCTGGGTTCCGTGACCGTCTGAAGAGGAGCGAGTTCCTGGTGGAAAAAAAGCTTCGGGGGGGGGAGCTGTGGGGTTTCCCCAAACGGGGGGCAGCTCCAGAAAAACCTAATGGCCCTTGCGGAGTCTTGCGTCGCAATCCCCTGCCCCAAAGTCAATCCCGCTGAGATCCAGGAAACTTTCAGGCAAAAGCAGGTCCCAGAAGGCAACCTGCGTTTTCGGGGGGGCCGCAAGCCGCTTCCTTTGCTCTTTCCTGTTGCGGCCCCTCAATCTGCCAGAGCAACACCCGAGGCGATTGAATCGATCCCCTTTGTAGATCGAAGAGATCTCTTCAAATCGCCCCAGGGAAGGAAAGAGATTCATCTAAGCGGGGATGAAAGGATTATCCCCACCCCCACCCCACACACACACTTTTCTTTACCCTGCCGGATTCAGCACCCGAGGCATCACCTCTAGTTAGAACAAAACCAATCCACGCACGTGCCCAGACCGAAGGCAGCTCCACGCTGGCTGGCGGTTCTCCTCCCCTGATTGCCCCCTCCTTCCCTCCGGTTAAGGACGAGTTCACAACGGCGCTTGTGCTTAAAAGTGAACCCCCTTCCAATCAAGGGGTGGCCTGAGGGCTCCAGGGGCAGGCAGAGGGTTCCTACCGACTCCTCGGCCTCACTCCATCTCTGAGATCGGAGCGGAGCAGAGCCGGTGTCGGCAGAGTTTGAAAGGCAACGCTCCGATTTTGCGTCCCCGCTGTCCCCTGGCGAAAAGCGCCTCTTCTGGGGTGGGGGTTGTCTGGGAAAATCAAGTTCTCGCTTCCCTCTTGCTTGGAAAACTCCCCACCAAGCTTATACCGCCGTTTCTCTCACTCTGTGCATGCGCTCTCGAAGTGCCCCGACTTAAATCCGCGGGACTTAACTGCCGAGAAGAAATCCACTGGGAACTTCGCAGCCTGGATCCTGACAGGGCAGGAAAAGCCCGCGACAGGATCGACCTCTTCTTTCCCTGCCAGAGGGGGGAGGGGGGGCAATATTTTAGTATATTTAATTTTAATTTAATTAAATACATCAGCCTGGACTGATGGGGTTTGGATTATTTTAATATGTTTAATATGTGTTTAATATGTATTTTAACATGTTTTATCTGGTTTGATTTTAATTGTTGTGAGCCGCCCTGAGTCCTGTGGAGATACGGCGGCATACAAATCAAATAAATAATAATAATAATTTTCCACGGGAGTGTCGCCCCCCCCTTTCCCTCTCTGTCCACACACACACACACACACACACACACACAATTTTCCTCCTGAGTTCAGTGAATCCTCGAGTGCTGTAAACCATCCTGTAAAACTAAGTATTACCCATATTGTGCACTTTTAGGAGCGAGTCTCCTCGAGTGTGATCTGAGTGCAGGCAGGATATCGGGCTAAGGAAGAGCACCTTCCCCTCCCTTCCTCTTTTCCGCTCCCCCACCCGTTTTCTCCCAGGGCCTTTTTTTAATTAATCCGCTGATACCCACAACAGCAGCAGTCTTGGCACTTCCACCAAGGGAGAGTGGAGGAGGGAGGAAAAGGGAGAGGAAACAATTAATAAAAGCGCTTTTTTAAAAGGAGATCAATTCCGGCGTGAATTTTAAAATAATTATCTGGAGGAACTAGGATTGATCGTTTGATCTCGGTGCAGCCGGCGGGTCTCGCCTTCTCCAGGAGGACAAGGCGGGTTCAGTCAGCGAAGACCGCCGCAGAGAACCAGGTCGTATCTTGAGGACCGCGCCAATCGAGCGCCAGTAAACCAACCCGTTTGGAAAGCCTAAAGAAGGCGCCAGATGAGAGAGAGAGAGAGAGAGAGAGAGAGAGAGCGCTTCTAAAGGAGGCGTTTCGGAGAAGTCACCGGGCCTGTGTGAGGCCTGTTATCTCATCAGATTTGGCTTTCTTCTCCGTCACCTCATTTTACACACACATATACCTCCCCGTTCTCAATAGTCTATTGACTTCCTTTATATCTCTTGGAGGAAACTTGGGACAGATTGTGATTATCTCACTTTTTGGCCACGCAACAACTCTTGTCAGGTAGGTCAGAAACAAGAGAGATCGACCCCGCTCGGTTTGTTTGGATTCAGGAGGAAGGAATGGCAGGTTTCACACAGTTCCAACACTGAGCACCCCTTGTGCACCTGAGACCTGGTTCTGGGAGCTCAGGTTTAGGCAGAATATAAGTGATTGGGGGGGAAATAAGGCAACGCCGCCACTGAATTAGGCAAGTATTTAGAAGTAAACTATCTGGGGATGGCAGCGACTAAAAAAGCCAGAGGTGATTTAAAATGTAGGTCGTCCTTGGACCTGGCGAGTGGTTCTCCGGGAATATCGGCAAAAGAACAGGCGAGCATCAAGCAGAAAAGAAGCCATTTTCTGGCCCCAAATGTTAGGCAGTCAATAATCTTGGGTTGCTTTCTGAGCATTTGTTTGAGGAACAGATCCTAGGGCCATTTTTTCCCTCCTGTTTTCTTACTTGCGCGGCTGCTTCTCATCTTTGGTACATATTTTTCTGTTGTTTTGTTAGCAGTCTACAGAGATCACCAGAAGGAATCTGAAAGCCTCAGTCCGGCGATGGGTTAGACCACGACTTCCACCATTCCTATCCCGCTATTTGGCTCCGAGCGGCGGTCCAACGTAGCTGAACTGCACCAAATTGGGAAAGGCTGGACCTCAATGAGGCGTTAGGCTTCTCACCAATAGGGGAGAGAGTTTCTTCCTCCTGCCTTTCATCCACACCCTCCTAAAATCACCTTCCCCGTCCCCCTCGCCCACTCGCATCCTTGCAAGTGCAATTGCGATCTCTTCCCGACCTTAGTAAGTGCTGCAATCCTGTACCCAAGGAACAAAGTCACGTGCTTATTCGCTTCCAGCCTTAAGTCACGGCAAGGTATGCAGATGTGATCTCATCTGCCTGGATTTCTTTCCGTCTGTACCCCAGGCGTCTTTGAAAAGTTCAGGCGGCCTGGCAATCTGAAGTCTATTTCAGAAAAATTGGGGAACAATTTCCTGACTAAATTCCAAATTAACGCATCTCCCATGTTAAATCGAATCAATTACGTGACAAGGATAAACCCCATGGATGCTAACATTGGTACAGAGTTGTATGTTTTATATTCCCTTTCTAAAACGACTACGATGTTAAATCGTTGTTCTAACCATCCTGGGAGTAGTTCCTCCTCGTAGAAGCGCTTACTTCTTAGGGCCATTCAGGAACGGGGGAAGGGCAAGTGTCAAAAGAAATGTGCTTCCAGATCTACCTGAAAAGGTCTTTTCATTCCTTCACAGCAATAATGACTGTGTCCCACCCCAATTGCCTGCCTATCCACCCACCCACCCGATTGGACAGGACGCCTTAACCGCGGATACCGTGCAGACATGGGTGCTAAGAAACGCGTGTGTGAAAATGGTCGTCTATATGCTCGACACAGGCCCGATGTTTCTTGGTAGGTGGGAGTTGTTTAAACTTTTTTTTTTTTAGAGAGAGAGAGAGAGAGATTGGGAGCTTCTGCTTTGGACATTCTGGATCCTGAGAAGCAGAGGAATTCTGCCATTCCCAATTATGCAGACAGTCTCAAAGTGCCATGGGAGTGGGGGAGCTCATCACTGCTTCATATCAGGCCCCTACTAAACGATAGCCAGGAAACCAAAACCACTGCATGTTTTTACTCCTGTCGATTTTACGACCATCCCACGTGAAAGACAGGTTCGCCTATATTCAACACAAATGCGAATTTCTTCGGAGCATTTGACGAGTTAAGCCATGGTAGAGCGAGAAAGAAGGTGGCACAAAAGAAAAGTTTTTCTTTTCTTTTCTTTTTTTTTAAAAAAAGCCCAAACTTTTGTTTTCCTGCAAGACAGGTTTGGAAATCGAAGTAACAGCCTGTGATCTTGATCGCTGAGTAGGAGGACTTTCTTCGCGCCTGCTTCGCCTGGCCAAGACTGGATGAAATCCCAGGATCCACCTGAGGGGGGTGTAACCTTTGCTTTGCCCAGGCTCCCTCCCTGGGGGTGGGGACGGGACCCTTTCGTGCTCAAGACCGATTAAAAGGAATGGCACTTCGGCAGGAGCTGAGATGGTTTCCGTCTGAGCTGGTGATCTGTTCTTTAACAACCATTAACTCTTATGGGGTCGCCCCGGTAGACTCAAATATGGATACAGGTCGATTTAAGAGTTTGCAAACCAGGCGGCGCACAGGGTTTTTTGGGGGTGAGTGGGGGGTGGGGGTTGGGATAGGTTAAGTCCTGATTTTGTCTATTTTCCTCTGAAATCGAATCAACCTCTTTAAAGCGGTCTTATCGAATTCGCCCCCATTCCTTTGCCCTTGGTTTTTGATTAACTCCCGCTTGATGGAGACCTTTAACAAGGCTGCTTCTGACGACAACACTCGCAAGTTACACAGAGGCTTCACCAGTTTTGGGACCGGTCGGAGAAAAGCGATCACGTTTCCTCCATCTGCCTCGTTCCGCCCTGACGATTTGAAACAGTCTCTACTTGCCTTCCTGACTCTTTAACCCGGTTTTAAAGTTGGATCCTCCCTCCCACTATTATTCTTAATCTCCATGGTTGAAAAAACAACAAGGGGACGATAACAAAATATGAATTTTTACTATTTTAACGAATCCCTGATGCTTTGTGAAGGAATACGGGGGCCCTCAGTAGGTAGGCATACACTAGACCGTCTGCCCAGAAGCTTCTCCTTCCTGCAGCTACCCTGCCTTCCTGGTGGCTTCTCTGCCCCTAGATGGCAACCTCTTCCTTTGTGGGGTTTCTCGAGTGAGGAAGGACTTGACCTTGGCTTCGCACCTCCGATCTCTGGCCTCTTTCTGAGCTGGCTTTTGGATCCCCCCCACCCCCACCCCTCGCCTCCAAAAGGTCTCGAATCCTTAGTCGTGGCGTCCCGGGTCAGAAATTTGGCAGTGATCACGGGAGGAGGATGGATAGGTCTCTTGTAAGGGCAGGAATGGTGTGTGGTTGTTGTGTGTCTACACAGGCATCTGCCAGGCTAAAATCTCGTTTCCCCTGGGAGCGTCCTTCTAAATAAACAAAAACAAAAAAAAGGTTCAATCCGCACCTCGGCCTCCCTGAGTCTTTACCGAGAAAAGCAGCTCTACAGTTTGGGAGACAGCAAGGCAAGGATGAGCAATCGAACTGGCCCTCTTTTCTCTGAACGCGGGAACTCTGTGTGCACCGACCGGCCCAATGACCAGTCAGTTCCCCCCAGGGAGCTCTCGGGGATTTGCCTGGAAATGTTTCCCAGGGAGAGTTGTTATTTCCCGCACTTGCACTCGCCTTCCCAACTAGTTGCCCGGGTAATGTTCTCCTTGCTTAGACTTCCCAAAGGATTGCCGCGCAATGGCTGGACCGGACCGGTAGGCCAATTCTGCCCTAGCCCAATCCCGGGACTAATGCGGGGAAGCGTGGCGAGTGGCTGGCTGGAGCGCTGAGAGGCGCTCTTTCTTCCCTTCTGCCCGAGGCTTCGGTCGCCTGGCTGGAGAACTCAGCATTGAGTCTCTCTCGCTTTCTCCGAATGGCTTACTCGGCCCACTGTGGATCCCGCCTGACCCTTTTTGGCTTACACGCTGACACACCCGGGCCTTGGTCTTCCTCAGAAAATCACCTTCAAGTCTCCCCAAGCCCCCAAGCCAGCTCCTCTCTCCAGTCACACACATTCATTTCCACAACGCATCAGTCCGGGGAAAATTCGTTTTATAATCGGAACGCCGGCCGTGTTAATTACGATAGCCTTCCGTTTTCTCCGCTAAATTCTCATTCCTCCCCCCACCTCTTTTTTTCCTTCTTTTTCTAGACCGGTTAAATATTTATAAGGATCGAATAGATCAAGGGATTTTTTTTTCCTTAGCACATTTCATACGAGAGGGGTTTTTTTAAAACAACAACAACAACAACAACACAGAAAGCGAGACTCTTTTGTGCGTTTTATTGATTTGGGCCCGGGCCACGTCTCTCGTGGAGGAGCTAATAGATTTTAATTCAGATAGGTGTCCTCAATCCTGATTATGAATGGATTGGATTGATCCACTCCGGCCATCCGTACAATGTAATAAAAAGGGCGATTTCAGCCAGGGAAATGTGTCTTCCTCCTCCTGTGGTTCCTCTCTTCTCAATCTCCCCACTACTCCCCAAATTAAACCATTTCTCTGGGCATCGTCGGGTGGTCACCACAGGAGGGAAATGCAGTGGGAGGAATCCAGGCTCCAAGCCTGGAGCTCAGTCTCCAAAGACTTGAAAGGGAGCTAATTTGCCTTCGCGCATTATTTTCCTCTCAGAATCGCACTTGATTCTGGTTGACTTGTGGTTTCGTCTTCCTCTTCTCCTTTTGTCCCCTTCTCTTCTTTCTTTTAGGAGAGAACCGGGTACCTCAGTGTAGCTTTTAAAGACAGTCGAAGTCCTTATGAGATATCTACTGCGACTTGAAGTGACCAATAGCCATGGATTTCTTTTCTTTTCTTTTTTTTCTTTTCTTTTTTAAGGGAGAAGCTAAGTACACGAGAAGGATTTGTCCGGAAGCTTCGAAGGTCACTCGGACCTGAGTGCAACATGTCCTGCCGGCAAATATTAGACTGCAGGGTGCCATCCAAGCAAAGTGAATGGTTTGGATTTATTTTGAAGTATCTTCGGGTTTGCCTCTGAAATTCTACACTTTCCTTCCACGAAAATGCAGGAAACCAGGAGGGGAATCACTTCATTTAGGACCCTCCAAGTTAATTTTGGCTGGCACAGAAAACTCTGATCATCATAAACAATCAATTCATGTATTTTTTCCAAGATAGTTTATTTATTTATTTAGCACATAGCAAAAAAAAAAATGTTAAAAAACATATCACAATTACATTCTCAAAGATAAAATAGGAAACTATTTACAAATTCAAAGGTAGACTATTCATATAGTCAATTCATGACGGAGTTGCATACAAAAGCCAGGATTTCCCTGGCTCAGAGGGTCTGCTTTGGAGGCACCACTGCTGCATTCCAAAGAGCAGAGCTTTCTCCATTTATGAATTAGCGCATCTGCCATGTTGAGTCCTAATCCTATTGAGAATTGAGATTAGATTGGCAATCTAGTTTTGCCAGCTAGATTGAATTCTTTTGTTTTGGTTGTAAAGTGGGGAATGTTGCGACACTCTGAAGAATGCAATAGAGGGGCAATAGAGGACCTTTCTTGTGCCCAGGCCTGAAGCAGATTGAAGATTTTATCCAGCAAGTTTCTGGCTGTCTTAATAGGTGAAGTCTGGAGTGAAGCCTTTTGTTCATAGCATTAGTGACATCTGCATTGATAGGTGGGTGAATGTTCCTAATTATTTTCTTATACTCTCACAGTAAAGCATTTCCCCTTCGTAGACATGATGAAGGAATATGGCTCAAAATTGGTAACCAGAAAGTGGGGATAGACCTTATTGTGCCCAATATGATGCACATAGTATGATTCAGCTGTGTATCGATCAGTCTGGTATGGCTAATAGACTGGGGAACAATATTATGCTGTAAAAAAGATGCGGCCAAGAGTTGAAGATCACAAGATGGAAGCTGAGGAACCCCAAGTAGAACCACAGAATGTTTGCAAGATGTTATTCCCTGGTCACAATCTGTTTAAAATGGTAGTTAATGTAACTGATTATTTGAGGAGCCTGATATGGAATCCCCTTCATTTTCAATGGCACCTCATTTTAATTAGGTTGTGAAAAAGCTAATTTAAGTTAAAAGGCAGCCAATTCAAAATCCTGCTAGGGACTTCTATCAATGTGTGAGGATCCACACACCCATTTTGTAATTATATGACAATACACCCACAAAGTAGATTAATTTTATTGCTTTGCTTTCTTATGAGCAGAACCACTCTGTGCTCAGTTCCATAGCATGGACTGGGGTCCAGTCCAGCCCTGAGAACCTCGAAGCAACAAAGAAGATTCTTCAGAGCAAGTACAGTAGCCTTTCTTTGGCCACCGAATTACCTCTTCACATAGATTTGTGAGGAGACAGAGAGAGAGCAAGAAAGAGAAATAGAAAGAGAGAAAGAGAAAGAGAAAGAGAAAGAGAAAGAGAAAGATTTCCTGTGAAGAAAGTATGTGGACATCCTTGTAAGTGTAACCCATACCCATCTCTCAGTTTAGAACATGTAGCAAACCTGAAAGGCTACATTATACCTGTCATCATCAGACCAAGAAGTTTTCCACTGGAGCCGAAAGTTTTAGGGTTGTTGATACCAAAAAGCTGAAACAAGAGATTCCAGCTGATCTTGACAATTTGGTTGGACAGAGTTACCTTTACTGCTCAAGGAAAAAGATACTCTCTTGGCAGGATAGCAAAATGGCAGCATTTTTTGTCCAGAAGATCTGACCTCCAGCAGCCTTGGGGAAGTGGGTTCTCTTTTCCAGATATTTAAGTCAAAGGAAAATGTGTGACCTTCGCCATCCCCACTAAAGTAGAAATCTCCTATGGGCCATGGGGTGGGGGAGGTGCCTAAGGTGCACTGCCTTATGTCATGTTCTATATGTGTGGATGGCAGAAAGGAAAAGGAAAATTCCTTAATGCAAGAAAGGGGGAAAACATTGTCTTTCCATAGTTTTCCAATCTTCAGAGGAATTTGCTGCAGGGAGAGGAATGAGGGAGGAAGCAAAAAAGGTCTTACAACCACCCTTCACATAGGATTTCACCACTGAGAGTGCTATTACGAGTAACTGTTATTTCCCCACTATTTTCAGAAAAAGATTTACAGAATTATAAAGGTGATTCCTAGAAATATTGCACACTGGAAGTCTCTCTGGGATTGCACACCTTTTGATAATCATTCTCCTACATTAATACTTTATTTATTTCGTTTTGCATGCCCTCTCGTGCACTTACATTTGAAATCAACCTCTTCGTTATATCTGGTTCAGTAAAAGTGACAGTCCACCTCACTCTCTCCTTCATGGCTGTAGAATTGACGCTATAAAAGTTGCAGTGTATTTGTCCTTTATACCACTGGGGGTACACAAAGAAGCATTATTCGTTTTTTAGAAACGATGGCCAGATTGTGTCACTGCAACTGGGAAGAGAAGGTGCTAATCTGAACTGTTTCTGAAGAAGGCATCAGAGTTATCAGGGAATAACTTCCTTTTGCTTCTTGCTCACCGACTTTCTCATTTGGCCAATAGAGCTGGGAAGCATAAGAACTGATAAGTAATCAGCTGCTACTTGTTTGTAGGAGCATTGACATGCTACATACCTTACAGGACTGAAATCATTATGTGATGGAAGGCAATGATGGTGCAGAAATCTTTACATTCCTCACTTTAGTAAAGGAGGTGGAGATTTTAGCACCTTTGGATCTCCTGGCTATACTCTGACCTCAGTTTCCCCATTCAGACGCACCTCAATTAGTGAGCTAGAATGTCAAAGGCAAAAAGGTACAGCCTACTTCACACATTGGGCTAAGATGGTTTAAACAAACGATAATCCATACAATTTTTATGTAGGGTTTAATCAGTAGCAGTATGAATCTCAGGTCAGAAAACCAAAAACCCAAACAAGTCACACCTATGTTGTATGGATAGATGTGGACATAAAAATCGTGGTCTTGGATTTAGGAGTGCCCTCTCAGAAAGTTTTACACAGCAGTCAGTCTAATACATTTGGTAGGGCTTACTCTCAGGCAAGTGTGTCAATCTTGCAAGGAGAAGGTCCTGAAGGACCAAGTTTAGACTTAGAAATTAAGCAAGCTTAGACCTAGTTAGTCCTTGAATGGGAGACCATTAGGAAACCCCAGACTGTGAGTTCATCAGATAGCTCCCCAAAACGTCCTGAAAGAACTCGAGGGGAAAAATACGCTTCGTTACTATTGCCAAGAAAACTGAGCAAAAATACCTGCGCAGGACTCCAGCACTTCTGCAATTAGCCTTTAGGTTTTAAGCGTGTCCGGTATAGAATTTAGCCAAAGGCTGACGCAAGACGTCCTGTATAAATTAACGCTTTGGGTTCGATTGAGGCATTTAGGATCGCCGCTAAGCGCTGATCTCCCACCCGCCGCCAGTGGACGCGCTCGTTCTCCTTCCCTGCTCTAGATGCAGGGACTGGGGAGGCCCGCCGTCCGGAGTTTATTATTAGTTTGATTTATATGCCGCCCTTCTCCGGAGACTCAGGGCGGCTTACAATGCTTTTAAGCAATAGCCTTCATACTTTTGTATATACCTGCTTAGTAGGGCTTTTGGCCTCCCCCAAGCGGTGTTCTTTTTTATACAAAGTCAGTTTATTGCCCCCACAAACCAGGTCCTCATTTTACCTACCTAAAGGATAGAAGGCTGAGTCAACCTTGAGCCTGGTGAGAATTGAACTCGCATTAATTGCAGGCAGCTGGCAGCTAAATATTGCTTTAACAGTAATTTAGTCCACTGCACCACCAGGCTCATTCACTTTGGAGTCTGCTCCAACTTAACTAGCCATATTAATCTCTCGCCCGCGATGTGCGGAAAGGCTGCCCGGCGGCGGCCGCGACCCAGCCGCGATAGCCAGGGCGCGCATCCGCCAAGCCTTCGGGAAGGGGCCCTTGAGCGCCAGCCCTTCCGCTTGGAGTAGGGGCTCGGCGGGAAGAAGTCCGGAGGCTGGCGCGGCAGGTCTATCTCGGCCCCCGGAGGACCGGCCGCGGTCGGGGAGGGGAGGGGAGGGAAGGGAAGGGGAGGGGGGGCCGGGCGAGGATGCAGCCGGCTCGGCCCATCTGCTTTCGATCTCCCTCGGCTGGCGCAGACAATGCCAGGGGCAGCGGGAGAGCTCGCCTGGCCTCTGGCCGATCTAATTGAGAAGCCGGGATCCAGCTGCAGCCACTGGCCGGCCGGAGCTCGGGCGCAGCTCCTTTCCTCCCCCTCTCCGGGGGCTTCTGGCTTCAGGCGAAGCTCAGGGCGAAAAGAAACAGCTCGGCCGCGGCAGGGCAGGCAGACGCGGCCCCTGCAGCCTCCTTGGCCCGGCCGAGGGTGAAGTTCTTCTTGGGGGGGAGGCTCGCGTGGGGTTTGCTGAAGCGAGGTGGCCGGCCGGTTCCTTCCTCCACCCCCCCCCCACCCCACGCCCGACGCTCTGGCGCGGTTCGCGGGTTCTCCAGCGAACCTTCCTGCGATTGAGCGAAGGAGGGAAGCCGGGTCCCGCCGAAGAGGATCTGGCGTTGCGCTCGGCCCCAGATTCAGATCTCACCCTCCGAGCACTTCGGGATGAATCGCTCTCTGGCCATCAAGGGAGTCGCCGTCTCCTGGGATTAGAAAACTGCGCCCACTGGAATATTTAATAAAAGGGATTAAGTAAGTGATTTTGCCAGGACTATTCAGACTTGGCTTTCGAGGTTTCTCGGAAACCAAAGTAAGAGGAAGATGTCCCAGACAGCAAATTTTATAAGCCTTAATTGAACTCTCTTAACTCTGTCATCTAGCCCTTAAGAAGGGCGCTAGACGGAGACGTTACTCTCCTGTCACAGGCCAATCGACGCACTAGCATTATTAGCATTAGCATTTATTTCATGCTACAGCCACGATTATTACTTCCAGGTTGCAGCTTTCTTCTAAAGAGCCAAAGACATTGCACGTTCTCGTCTCCTTCCTCTGACCATTTTTCTGCTAGCCAGTCAAGTGGGATAGCCAGGAACTGGGTTTCCTTCAGCCAGTAAACCACCAACCACCAGCACTTTAGCCTAACGTGCTAAGCAGGAAACTTTGTTGAAGCAAACCATTTTTCATTTAAATGGGACTAAGCCCTAAGGTATCCAAGGCAGCGATTGTCTAGAGCCACTTCATAATCA